TTTTCTCTTTTTATTTGTCATTTAGCTTCATGCAAATGGTAATGTCGATCAAATGTTCAATAAATATTTCATCATTACTCTATTTAATAAAAGAATAACATATATATGTTTTTGTTTTCTTTTATCTTTTGCAAATATAATTTTACTAACCAATTTGCCTCGATTTTTATTGATTACTTCTTTATTTGTTTCTTTATATTCAACAATTTTTTGTTCAGTTTCTTCAACATCAATTTTGTTCGTAAGATTAAAAACTAGAAAAAATATTAAAACAAAATTATTATAAATATCCATCATATTTGTTTATTTAAATACATTCACGTCTTGAATTTTTGTTTATGAATGTATTATACTTGTTCGTATGCTTGGAATTTATTAGTCTTACTAATCTATGTTTTGAATGATGTAAGATTTTCTTATTTTACTCAATTGCATCATACTCATGGGCATCTTATGTAAGAAATACTTAAGCAATTATCAACCAGAAAAAAAAGACTTGAATGCTTGTCTCATGATAGTATTTCAGGACTTTTGAATGATTCAAACTTACAGAAAGTTAAGAAAGAGTCCTAAACCAAAATACAAAATGTAAACATGTTTTATATTTATTCTACATAATAAAATAAATATTTTCTTACTGTAAGTTTCGACCATTTCCAAATAATCATTATAAACATCGAGTGAATCAAAATCTTGTTCTTTTCGATTGAAACTAGAAAATTAGGTTCGTTTTTTTAAATAGAAAATTCGAATTATTTGTAAATAAATATTTTGTATAAATACAAAATGTTTACTTACTCTTTAAGAATACGTTTTCGAATATCAGTTTCAAGTTCTACAAATGGATCTTCAAATATTTGATATCGAAATCCACTTTTTTTTAATTCAGTGTTGCATGTTGGACAATATCCTACGCCTTTACTAAATTTATTTTCTACACAATTTTCACACCTGACAAAAGAAAAAATTTTTAACAAAAAAAGGAAATATTTCTTTTTAATCAATAACCTACAATGAATGGCCACATTTGCTGACCATTAATTTCATTTTTGGATTTCTGTATCTTGTCGTCTGACATTGTGGACAACTGATGTCCATCTGTAAGAATAACAGATAAAAAAAACAACAATAAATATATTTATATTCATATATATATATATATTCAATTCAATATTTTCTTTTATCAATTATTGTTCATGAATAATAACATGAGATTGAGAGAAAAAGACAATTTAAAAGGAAAAAGATTAAAGGAAATTAACAGATAGAAAAATATCAAATACACTTCTACATAAACAAACTGGACAATAGATTTGAAGAAAAAGAAATGAAAGAAAGAACAAAATATCATGAAATAAGGAATGCTGAACATAGATGAATGTTATTATGATTTGATTTTATTATTTTTTTTTTGTGTAACATTCATTGGATTAAAATAAAAATAAATAAGATATTGTCAATGTTAGAAACAAAAAAAAATAATCATTCTCTATGATTGTGATCGTTTTTTAGTTGGAGTTACTGTTGGTGTTAATCCACGATTTGTTTTACGTTTATCAATTAAATCTTCAATACGTGATAATGGACGACGATTTGGTACTGTTATGGAATCATCGGGAATATCGGGAATCTTTTTCTCGATTGACAATGGTGTATTTCTAAATAGAAAAAGATTTATTGAAAAAAAAAACAATTCAAATAAATAATTTTTTTTTAAATTAGTTAAAAGACATGCACTGATAATTCCAATGTCGGTTTATAATATGCAAGCTTTGTTATATGTTTAAAGCTACCTGTCGACGATATGCTATAGATGGAGAAGAACCACGTGATGATGAAGCAAAACTTTCGGCAGCAGCCAATATAAAATCATCAGTTGAATCAGATCGTGTAGGAAAACGACGTGAGGATGTTCGAACAAAATATTGTGAAGTAGACATTAGATTTTGACTAAAGTGAGTAGGACTTTCGAATAGTAATATGTTTTTTTTTTTCTTCTTTTGGATCTTATTCGATCTTTTTCTTTTCTTCTTCAATAGAAAATACTTACGAGAGTTTAGCTGCTTTTGCTGCTTGTTCACGCCATGCTCGTACTTCTTGAAGACATGTCTAGAAAAGAAACAAGTAAAGAATTATATATTTAAAAGATTAAAATATACCGAAAAAAAAGAACAAAATGATTTGAGATCTGTAAAAAATTCATTGAGCGAATAATTTTTTGGATCAATAGCTAAAAAATCACAAAGATTTTGATAAGCTTGTGTCATTTCTCCATCTAATTGTTCTAATCGTGAAACATCATTATCAGCTCGAATAATAAAATCCTAATAAAATAAAAATTTTAATAAATTAATTTCTTTGATTTTTTTTGTTCTATATAACTTTACTTCAATTGATTTGATAAATTTATCTCCATCAATTTGTTCTTCAAGATTTTTTGCAATATCTAATTCTTCTCGAGCATTTTTTAATTCTTTATTAATTTCTTTTGGTTGTTTTTGTAACTCAAGTATACTAACTAAAAATCAATTATTGAAAAAAAAAAACAAAAACAATTTAATTTTTTTCTTATCATTTATAAAAAACCATACAATCTCACTTTTGGATATACCATCAGCAAGTGAATAGAATTCATCAGAAAATGAAAGTAAATCACGATGTTTATTTTCTATAGCTTGAACAATAAAATGAAGTAATGAACGACGACCATCATTTGCTTTTGTTGAATGTAACTATTTAAATAAACATAATTTATAAAGAAAAAACAAAAGATTTTTATTGAATTACTTTAGGTAAAAAACTAATATCAAATCCATATATAGGTTCATATGATTTTGCACTTGAATTCATATAATTTCCTACTGTTAATATTAATTCCAGCATTTTTTTAAATCGAATTGAATGTCGAACATGATCACATGCTGTACGAACTTCAACAAATGCCTAATAAAATATCGATAAATAATATAAAATATTCTTTTTTTTTTGTTTAAAAATGAAATCAACAAACTTTATCTGTTTCTTCAAATGTTTCTTTATAATTTGCTTTAAATAAAAGAGTTTTTAAACGTTGTTTTAATCGCTTTATATCACCGATCTAAATAAATAAAACAGATTAAAAAAAGCAAAGACAAAAAAAAAGAATTAATATGTATTTACAGCACAAAAATACTGTTCTGAATATTGTAAATCATTAATTTCATTTTTATAATCAGCTAATGTTTTTAATTCTTCAGGTGTTGGTAAATATTTTTCTAATTGTTTAATAAAATCATCTTTTAAATATTCATTATCACATGAAAGCATCCATTCACGAAAAACTGATGGTGGTGCTTTCAATTGACTGAACATAATAGCTAAAATAATGAATTTGATTATTCGTCGTTTTTTCTGTTTTGTTTCAAAAAATAAATTTATACCAAAGTTTTGTGCAGCTTTAGCATCAAGAACACGTAATTCTTTTGATTTGTCAACAAGATCATGGATAGGTTGTCTAGCTAGAAAAAAAAAAAGAAAAGATTTTTTTTGTCCCTCGTAAATTTGTTTACGAAAATATGAAAGAATTTTGTTATACTTGGAGCTACTTTGCTTGCAAAATTTTTTCGTATATCAGAAAAAAGTTCATCATTAACATATTTTTCTTCATCAACATGAACCCACATAGAATCTTTTTTAATTGTATGCGGATTGATCTGAAAAAGTATTATAATTAAAAATTAAAGAAAATAAATTCATATTAACTAACTTTACTCCATTGAACTTTTTTAACTGGTTCAGTTACAGCATATTTTTGTTTCTTACGTAAGTATTGTGGTAATTGTGGTGGAGCTACACGATAGCTTGAATAGTTATATAACGAAATATTAGTTTTTACTTACCACCAAACCCCGGCATCATTGGAGGTGGAGGTGGAGGTGGTGGCGGAGGTCCGCCTGAGCCCATTGTTGATGATGGTGGTAATGATGAAACACCAAAGCCAGGGAATGGAGGAGGTGGAGGCGGCGGCGGACCAGCCGAGCCTGGAAATGGTGGAGGTGGCGGTGGACCAGTCAAAATTGGAAAAGGAGGTGGTAGTGGAACACCAAAACTAGGAAAAGGTGGAGGTGATGGAATACAAAAATCTGGAAAAGGAGGAGGAGGTGGTGGAATGGATGAAGGAGGTGATGTTATGGTTGGTGTAACAATGGTAAAGAATGGTGGTGGTGGAGGAGGTAAAGGTATTGGTAATGGAATGTTTGATCTAGAAAAATAAAACTATAAAATATGTTGAAATATTTAAGTTTGACCAACATGGAAGATGGCACATCAGATGATTCTGGTTTTTCATCAACTTGAATAATAAGATTTGACAAAATTGTGCATATATCATCGTTGATATTTTGATGAACTTTAAGACAAGATGATATAGATTGTTCTTTACCAGATGATAGCGGTGGTTTGGATTCATCTTTTGAGCCACGTAAGTTTAAAATCTAAATAAAATTTATATCGATAATAAAATTTAAAAACTTTTCTATGAAGTAATATGAACTGATCAGCTCATTTACATCTCTGATTTTAGAAAAAAAAAAAAAACTTCAATTAATTTTTTCGAAAGATGATTTTTGATAATAAATTGGATTAGTTCTTTTTTTTTTTTTTTAAATAAATAAATTTACTTTTCGAAGATCATTGTCGTTTGAATTCGTATTGGAATGTAAACTTGATTTAAGTTGTTTAACAAATGCTTGTGTAGAAGAATTTCTTGTATCACGATTGAGTGTTAACCAATCAATTAATAAATCACCTATGAAAAAAATATAATATAAATATAAAATCAAACGAAATCAATCTAATTACTTGTATATTTAGCATGATTATTTTTGTACGATAGTGAAGGATGAAGGACAAGTGAAGATGAAACAGATGAATGAACATTATCATCTAAAGACAACGAAGGATCATTGTTATTAACATATGATAATAATTTATGCATTGCTCGTCGCATAGTAATTTCATCATAACAATTTGATGTTGAAGATGATGATTCACAATCTGAATTTGGATTTTTTATGATTGATGATGACATTGTGTTATAAAATTTAAATGTTAAACATTTCTTATAAAAAGAAAAGTTATATATTTAATGTTCATTTTGTTTTTTTTTTTTTTATTATATTAAGTACCTTAGAATAAGGAATAAGACCTAAATTTATTTGATTTGTTTGTGTTGATTTTTCAATCTTTTCTATTTGATTGAAAAGATCGTATTGTGTAGATATTGACTTTTTTTCACTTGGTTCAATATCAGGATGAAAACCGTATTCGTTCTAAAGACATATCAATTTAATAATGAATAAATTTTATTGTAAAACCTACTTTAAGAATATCCAAAATGGTTGTCGCTGTCGATGTTCTATAGTTAGTTTCTTTGCTTTCAACCAGATAATGATTAACTTAAAAAGAAGAAGAAAAAAAAAGAATACAAACGTTTATATGAAGGTCTCAATTTTTTGTTCATATTTGTGAGTATTGATAGGAAAAGGGAAGAGGTTGATATTCTATATTGATTAGTGTGAAAGTGAAGGAATGAAGAAAGAGAGAGAGAGGGAGAGAAAAATTGTGAGAGCAGCAATCTAGTAAAAGAAACAGATGAAGAAGAGATATAAATGATAGAATAGTATGTTACAAAACGTAGTAAAAGAGCAATTGAAAATGATACCTGTTCGTCTGCCTCTTTTGCTTCTTCAGTCACACTTTACTGACTAGAATACAAAAAAAAAGCGATATCGGTACAATATCCTTGACTCTTGACATGAAGACAGAAAGCTTCACACCTTAAACTATCATCATCACAATGAGAGCCGATATATCAAATATCAGTTAAAAAAAAAAAAGAAAAAAAATCTAGACAAAAAAAAACTCACTGTTACTGGATATTCTTGGTGATGATAATCTAATATTTGTATCTTCATCATTTGTGTTAGTTGCCCATGAATACAAACTTTCTGCCTAACAATAAAATAAAATGAATAATAACAGAAATGATCGGTGCCAAGGTAGATGACTCAAAAATACAAATGACTCACTAAAGACAAATTTATTTTTTATTAGCAAAAAAAGATTTATATGAATCATATCGAAAATATTTTCAGAAAGACTAAGAGCAAATGTCAATGAGATATTATTTCATGAGTAAAATATTACACTTAGTTATCATTCTTCTCAAGTATAAAGATTTTCATAAGATATTGCATCAAATAAATAAGCAATATTACGTATTCTTGATATTATTTATATCATTTTGTCAATTAAAAGATCTATATAGATAAATCTTCTTAATGATCTTCAATAAAATAAAAGTATAACCAATATAATAAACATACCGTTGTGATGGCCGTTCGATCGGTGCATAAGACAAGAAAGAAAATCGATGTACCTTCAAATATTATTAATTAGCCTTATTCATTTCGATTTCTTTGCTACTATCTATTTAGTCAATATCCTTCATGGTTATTTCTTATTTCTTTTTGCTTCATTTTTCGGCTTGTTTGTTAATTGAACTATATGTACGACCACGTTATACACATCTGTATGTATAGAATTGGGACGTTGTCAGTCTTCAACTGATGATGATGAAGACATGTTCAATGTCAAAGGTTATTATAGTTGTCTCCAGACGGCTATCTAATTTAATTGGAAATATAGACGAATGCAGGCAGATGTGTCTATCAAGGATATCGTTCATTCAAATCAAGGTTCAACATTAACAACAACAAATATGAACCTATTTATATGATACGAAAAGAAATTTTGATTTAATATGAATTATAAACCTTGAATGTCTCTTCTTTTCGCTTTTATAAAAAGAAATTGATGTCTACGAATCGAGAAAAAAAAGGAAGCTGATATATCGACTACTATTATACAAACAATGCGATAACATTATAAGACGAGGTGAAATGATAAATAATGATACTTAATTCAATTCGAATAGACAATTTGAAAGAGAGAGAGAGACCCTATGCATATCTACACGTTTACTTAAAGAGCAATGCTGACCAAAAAGAAAAATGTGTTTGTCAAATAATTTATGTCATTCACACATCAAAAGCGTATCTCATCGTATCCAATTATGTCGATATCATCGACCGTTTTATAACACATCGATACAAAGCGAATGACAGTTTTTCACACATATTCGTTTCTTTTATCTTATTCACATACATATAATACAATTGATTACCTTTGCCATATGACAAGGTTTATTACAGCTTCTCATGTACATGGTCGTTTGACAACATACATACGAATAATATTTCGGTACATAGAACCCATTCCATATATAGATTCGATTATAAATGATCGTTGTTCGACATTTTCAATATATATTCTACTTTTTTAAAAGTTTTTGTTAGAAAAAAGAGCGATCTTATGTTCATGATAAAACATGAGAAATAAACAATTAGATTTTGTTGAATATATCTACTTTATTTTCCTTGTGTATATGAAAAAAAAAAACAACAAACAAAGAAAACTTTTTGTCCTACCTGAAATAAATCATTATTTTGATCACTTTCTATTCGAAGTACGCCAAGAGAAATAAGACATGTACAACACTGTAATATAACTTGTTTTATTAATGTTAAATTTTCACAACGACCTTCAAAATGATTCAAAAGCCAATCAAGTAATAATTCACCTAGAAATTGAAAAAAATAAGTAATCAAATTCTTTAATTCTTTTTTTTTTTTTTGTAAATTTTTACCAGAAAATTTTGTATGTTTATCATATTGTAAACATGGATGAATTAATATTGAAGATATTGAATTATTTTTTATGATATTCGTCGTTTGTAATTGTTCATAAGAAATATCATCAAAACTTGTTGTTGATGACGATTTTTTAGTATAACTACCAAAAAATTTTCTTAGAACATGTCGAACATAATTAACATTATGAATACGTTTATCATTTAAAGATGATTGACGACGATTATCAGGATTTATATCCATTAAATTTTGTATATCGTTATTAGATGTTGATGATGGTTGATGAGAATGACACGTTGATTTAAACATTTTGATATTTATATTATTTAATTCTATGACATATCAAATATAGAATGTTGAGTTGACTCAACAAATGTTGATGAGGAGGAGAAGATGGCATTTTGTCTAATCAAACTATTTTAAATGGAATTTCAATATATATTTATTCGTTTGAGAAAAAGAAGAATATTAACAAATTACAGAAAAATTTAATAATAACGTTGATTGTAGCGATAAAATTTATTTAAAAAGTTTAATTAATCTATTGAATAAGATTTATTATAGTTTCATTATGAATTAATATAAAAATTATTCAAAAAGATATTTTTTTAATATTATTCATGAGAGATGTCCTTAAATGATGATAAGAAAAGAAAAGAAAATTAAAAACAGAAATGATAATTGATTAATTAAAGAGCCAATTATATTAAATTCTAGTCAAATAATTATTTTCCGAATAAAAATATCTTTCTTCGAGGTATTGAATTAATCTAACGAGCGAATCTCTTCCAGTGTCAAATTGTTTTTCGATCTAGATGATGTTCATTTGATAAGTAATAGAAAAGTCTAGAATGGTTTAGTTTTCCAGACCTTGGCTCTCGAAATATCGAAATTTTACTGGAGTTTTCTACAAAAAAAGTTGTAGTGTCCTCTTCAGGTCACGTGGAAAATTCACGTTCGACTTCAAATTTTGCATGAACAAAATTCTTAATGAGATTAATTGATTTTACAACTCATATTTCCTCTCTGGAAATGTCAATATAAAAAAAAAATACTCTTTTATGCATAAGAAAATTTAGAATATTAAATATCTCAGTATAAGAAATATTAAATAGAAATATTAAAATTTTTAATATCTCAAGAGCGAAACTCCACAAAATCAAACCATTCTAGATTTTCCTATTGCTCATCAAAAAAAACCTCATCTCAGTCGAAAAGCAATTTCAGACATATATATATGACTAGGATTATGTCATATAACAAAAAAAAATGTATTACGAAAAAAAAATACAAAAGATTGTAATTTATCTATTTTCAGATTGACAATGACAAAAGATATCAGTGAGAATGGTAGTAGTGATTCTGGAAATCCAATTCGTAGAGGTATTTTATTATTAATATAAATTTATTTTATAATTCAATTATATTTTCATTTAGATGCAAATACAATAACTAATGAAGCACAAGATTTAATAATTGAAGTAAAATCTAATCTTGTTATACTTATTTGTGGTATATTATCAGTATCATTACTATCTCTTTTATTATCAGCATGGTTAGCAAAAACAATAAGTAATACACCATCATCAATCGGTACTATTTTAAGTCATTATTTTGGTTTTGATCGTAATGAAACCGAACCAAATCTTACATGGTGGACACCACTACATATTGAATTAAATGAAAATACATTTCGAGAATCTCTATTAAATAAGAATAACTCAACAATAATATTAAAACCAAAAACAAATTCTAATTCTCACAGTGATCATTCAAATTTTCATAGAATTGTTTTACCATTAGTTTTTATTGGAGCAATTCTACTTGCTATAATGGCCTATTATGCACGTGTTAAATGTACAGCTCGTGATTTTACATGGGGTGCTGTACCAAAAATTCCACTTGGACGTGTTGATCCAAAGTTAGCTTCAGTAACTGTTGACGCTAGGATTAAAACAAAACAAGCAGAACCAGGTGTAGATTATACAATTGTACAGGGAACAAAAAAACAACCAGTTGTATTTGCATTAGTTGAAACATTACTACCATTAAAGGAAGAATGTGAACCGGGAGTTATGATTGATGAAGGAACTCAATATGAACTTAAAGATATTCCAAAGTAAATAAAGCAAAACAATTCGTCAATACATAGCTTTTAATTGTTTTTTGTTTGATATAGAATTGTTACACGTGTTTCATCAGCACCTGATTTACAAACTATTTCATCTGCTGTATCAATATCAAACGAGCAAGAACATGTGATTGAATTATTACAAAGAGAACCATTACCTACTATATTATCATTAACATAATATTTGTGATTTTTTTCTATGAAGTATAATTACAATGAACTATATACATAATACACCAAATTGAATTGTAATCTCTTTGTTTATACTCGTGTTTTTTTTTTGAAAAAAACTTTTGCTGTTGTTTTATCAATGTATTTTGTTATGAATATAATACTTTCTATGGATGAAAAGTTATTTGTAGAAGTTTTAAGATTTGTTTTTTTTTTTTGAGAAATATTCGTCAAGAGATTTGTTTTTTGCTCATTTTTTTAATGCATAATTTTTTATCTGTTAACTATTAGAAATAGTTTAAGTGTTTCAAAGATCTTTTAATTTTTCAAACACAGTATTTTTGCTTAATCAATTTTAGAACTTCAACTACTGTAAAAAATTTTATATTGTTCTCATAAACTAGTTAAATCAAACATTTAAATACCAAAATGAAAGATCATATATGAGTAAATTTCGAGTTGTTTTTATTGTTTATTATTTCATATCAACATTTGATTTGTCCAAATTACCATCGATATACTTCTATCCATGTCAACAATATTTATTCAATAATCATTAATTCTTCTTGTCTTTAAAATTAACATTATAGATAATCCCAGTTCTGTCCATCTTCATATGTTATCTTTAAAAAATATCTCAACTCCACAGGATATATTATTGTTTCCAGCAATCTTTCATAATGATCAATTCATTCAAGAAAAAAAAAATCAACAAAAAACAAAAATATTGAAAAAAAAATTAAAATCAACATTAATTTGTCGATACAGCTGCCTGTTTTGCTAATTATGTGACATTATGTATTAGTAGAGAAACATCAGGTTAGACAGCATGTTATAGAATGATTTTTTTTCATGCTGAGGTGCACACGAAAACTGATAATTATTATGTAAATCAACAATTGTCTATAATGTTGATCTTGTTATAAGGTGTGCTGAAGTTTCAAGAGACACTTGAATATATCTAACAAAAACGAAGAAATAAAAGAGAAAACAGGAAAAAAAATTTTCATTTTTCGAATGAAGCTAATGATGATAGAGGACTAACTGTGTCTATCTTGGCTACCTGCCGTGTAAAGAGAACAAGGTGTGTATATATGTATTTTTCAATTATTCATATTGAGTCAGCACCTTTCGACTAAAAAAATGTCATGCTCTTCGTTTATTCTCAATTAGTGAAAGTAAAAAGGATTAAAACAGCGAATGATCTTCACGTTATCATGTTCATTACATTGTGTTATTTTTTTATATTATTCTTTTTTTTTCTTCGTCTCCTTCTTCTTCTCTTCTTTATATAAGGCTATTTACAGATCACGACTTTCTCCTTCCTTTCTGTCTTCTCTCACTTGTTGACAACAACCAAAACTTCATTTATTTGCCAAGTGTTTTTACCTTCAGTTGAATAAAAAAGAAAAAATCTATAGACAAGCACGCTCGTAAATGGTGTCGAAGGGCGGCGTCTTCGCCTCGTCTTCGTCTTCCTTTTGCTATGTTTATTTGGAGTTTTAACTTTATGCAATGAAAAGATATATACGAAAGAGAAGTGATTGATTGACTTTCGTATGTATGAATATACTACGCGTGGCTATATGTATATGTATCTGTCTTCCGCAAACAAATATTGAATGAAGACTATAACTAAGACGCGTGAATAGATACACAAGATAAATGATGATTTTTTAATATTATATAAATTCGATGAGTTTGTACTTAAGAAAAAAGAAAGCCTCATATATATATTTTTTTTTCGTTCTTTTCATTGGACAAAACGACAAGTGTATCTGATAATTATCGTTCTTTTTTTTATTTTTTCATCATTTCATTGGTTCGATAATAATTCACACATATATATATGTGTGTGTATGTAATGATCATGCACATCAAATGAAGCAATTTCGGGTAAAAGAATTATGGCACCATTCCCTGTTTCTCCTATTTTCTATTGCACTTCAGCTGGCACTTTTCCCTCAATAACGGCACACTTATGTCGGAACAGAGAGAGAGAGGGAGAGCAAGGAAACGGAAACGAAGCTTCACCATCGCCAACATTCTCATCTATAATTGCGCACTGGCTGGTTGGTAGTGGCAAAAGCAACGCAGTCAGTGCGCTATGCAATAACAAGCGCATTAGAAGAACCTATCAGAATACGCGCGAGCATTATCGCGCGTTTGCAACAAGAGAAAGAACAGGAGCACGAATAAAAAAGTGAGAAAATATATAGAGAGAAAAAAAAAGAAAAAGAAAACGATAGAAGAAGACAAGAGAAGAGAAGAGAGAGAGACAGAAAAAGAAGAAAAAAAAGAAGACAGTACGAAAGAAGACGATACTCCCACATCTGAATAGAAGAAAATGATGATGAGTAGTAGTACTACAAGCAATATTGTTGAAGACGAAACAATGACTGGTAAGTTTTATTAAAATAATTAAAATAAATTTTTTCGTTTGTTTTTCTTTTTGTGTTTTTTTTTAAAATAGAATCTGATAATCGTAAAAGTTTTCTTATATCAAGTCTTTTATCTGCAGCATCATCTGCTGAATCAATGCTTGAAACTGAAGAAGATGATGATGAAGAAGATGATATTGACAATGATGAAATAGTTAAAGATATTGAACATAATGAAGATCATAGTGAAAAACTTCAAACGGAATCAACACAAATTCTACATCGAGCTTTCCCTAAAATATCTCCATCATCCATGATGTTTCCACGTTTAATGTCTTCAAATGATTTTTCATATCTTTACTATCTTAGTTACCATTATTTTGCTATGCAATTATCAAAAAATGGTCAAATACCACCATCACCATTACCTTTAGCAAATCCATCACTAATTGATACAACTATAAATTCAATAAAAAAACCTTTAAAATCATCTTATCCATTAACTCCAACATCTTCATCATGTTCATCATCACCATCATCACCTAATCTAGCAATAGCAACAACAACAACAACAACAACAACAACATTAACATCAACACCAACAACATCAACAATTCTAAATTCAAATCCAACCACAAATTCACGTTATCAATGTGATGGTTGTTCAAAATCTTATTCAACATTTGGTGGTCTTTCAAAACATAAACAATTTCATTGTATTGCACAAATTAAAAAACAATTTCAATGTAAATTTTGTGAAAAAACATATAATTCATTAGGTGCACTTAAAATGCATATACGTACACATACTTTACCATGTAAATGTAAAATTTGTGGTAAAGCATTTTCACGTCCATGGCTTTTACAAGGACATGTACGTACACATACAGGAGAAAAACCATTTCAATGCGAAATATGCTGTCGAGCATTTGCGGATAGATCGAATTTACGTGCACATATGCAAACACATTCGGATATTAAAAAATACCGGTGTACAAAATGTTCAAAAACATTTTCACGTATGTCATTACTTAATAAACATACGGAAAATTGCTTACAACAGCAACAGCATCAACAACAACAACATGCATCGACAGCAACAATTCATTCTTCAACTGATGATTGTACCAGTACAACAACGATTGTGCCTGCTGCATTTTCGCTTTGACATATCCTTCAAGTATTTGGCAAGTATTTTGTCTTGTTGTTGTGTTCCCTATTCATTCTGTTGTATTTTCAATTGTTGTGTATTTATTTCACTAACTGACCTTCACATAAATTTTTTTTTGTCACACATTTTCTTTTTTTTTGTTCTTTTCACATTAAAAAAAGAAAATAAAAAGATTCACAATAAGACTTTTTATTTTATATTCATGGTCAAAAATTAGTATTGAAGTCGATGGTACTATTTCTATCCACTCTTTACTCTCTGTTTTGTGACTTCTTTCTCTCATTCACTCACTCTTTTTTTTGGGTCCGATGCTGCACTTGAATGAGCGATCTAGCAGGAAATGAACACTTGGGTCGTGCGGCGCGAGCTCAATACCTGTACCGTTTAGTGCTCTCTTTTTCTATCGTATATTTCTGTGTGAAGTACTTTCGTTTGTATCACCGTCGGGACGACAATGAATCGTGCTCGACGGACACACAAAAAAAAGGAACTTCCGTCTCGGAGAGCTTCCCGCCGTCCGTCAAATTTTCATCTTCTTCTTTTTTTCCTTTTTTTGTGTTTTTTCGATCGATGGTTAGATCCTTCGTGTGACAAGTTGTAATTGTTGTGAGTTTGCGTAGGGCTTAAAATTTACCGCCATGATCATAGCCGGCGACGATTGTTGTTTTGTGTCCTGTTTACTTGCTTTAAGAGAAAAAGTCACTTGACCAATGTACATACACGTAAATCTATGTGTGTATGTCATTATCGATTTTTTTTTTGAGAACAAACGACTTATGCGATCATAAATCACTTTTTCCTTTCGATCTCAATCGATATGTATATATCTATATCTATATATACTCTGCAAAAAAAGAAAAGCGAACAACCGTTAAATTAAACATAAGCATAGTTCCGCTTTAATGAGTGTTAATGATGAAAAAACAGACTTCTCAATTGTTGCCGCTTCCGCAGGTTGGAAGAAAATAAAAACGAGTGTATGTCTGTATGTGATAGCCAGATTTGATTGATTTAGATTGACGTTTGTTCTGTATTATATAGAGAAAGGGTGGAGAAGATAACCTGCTTGACTAGAACTGTATGATATGGTCATGTACTCGCTACTGATGTCTTGTCAAGGCGCATGTTCGATGATTATAGTGATAATGACTAGAAGAAGAGAAAAAAAAGAAGAGATGTAGTTGTAGTTGGAAGAAAGATGAGCAGCCACATTATCCACCATATACACATAAAGAGCGGCAAGCCTAAAAGGAAATAAATAGATCTCATCATTTTCTTCCATCATTTCTGTTTCGTCGTTGTCAGTGCCCATAATTGTTTATACTTATCAACACTCCAGAGACGAACAAGTATCGATCTATCTTGCCCTTTTGCCACTGTCATTTGGCAGCTTTTGCTTTTTACCAACCTGCTCGTTTCTCATTCTCTTTCTCTTTAGTAATAAAACTTGCCCATTAT